CCCGAGCTCGCGGGGTCCTTCAGGTGGGCCCCGCCCGCCTCCATCGGCCGGAAATAGACCCGCGAGCCCTTTCGGCCGGCGTTTTGGCCAGGCTTGGCCTGGTCGGGTAAAAGCTCCCCATGGCCCGCGAAGCCCGGCCAGGCGTCGGCGCTGCTGGAGCCGGGGGTGCCCCCTTTCGGGGCCTCCTCCGTCTCTTTGGACTTGACGGTGGTGAGGAAGGGCCCGCAGTAGGGAGAGAGGAAAATACGATAAAGCTTCCCGTCGTAGCTGCGCTCCTGCTGGTCCGACCACTGGGTGGTATCGCTCTGTGGAGTCTCGCGGGCTCGCAGAATCTCCTTATGGAGCTGATCAAGATGTTGTTGAACCTTCTTCGTGAAAGTGCTATCCCGCAAAAAGTACGCCGCGGCCTCACTGCTCTCGAGCCAGTTGGCCACAAATTTGTCCTTGTATTGGGTGAAATCATTGAGGACAAACTGCACCCAATTGCCGCGCTGCATGTGCATGCAGGCGAGATTGGACATCCAAACCCAAACGCGGGAAACCACCTTTCCATCCAGTCGGATGAGAAGTCGCTGCTGTTGATTGTCAACATTATCCTGCCATAAAACCGACGGCAGGCACTCACTCGCGCCAATATCATTCATCGCCCACATTAACGCCGCGGTGTCGTACACAAATTTAAGCGTCGGATAACTATTCCAAAGTGCGCTGACCAGCACCCTCACCGCCTCATAGCGCTGTTGAAAGACAAGAATGGGATTCAGATCCGGCATAGACCGTGCGAGGATCTGCTTGTACTGCTCCACATAAAGCCTAGCCGCGAGGATCAGAACCCGCTCCACCGTCCGATCACCAGCGGCTTTCAGGACGATATTGCAGGGTTGGAGATAGGGGACATCGTCGTCGCGTTCGTCATTGTAGGTTCGGCAACCAAAATACCCAATCACATTGGCCTTTCGACCACAGAACGAGAAGCAATCCGCCTCTTTACGACCGCTAACGTAAACAAAGAGCACCGCACAGGGAACAGGCCGGATGGCTCGTTTACACCGACGGGCCTTTGCAATGCGGGCCTCAAGATCTTGATGGCTAACATCCTCCTCCAATTTCGAAAGGTTGCCGGATGCGATAATATTAACATTGTGAGGCGTTAATTGGGATACCCCGTCAGCCCCGAGCGATCCCGTGGGGCGAGCACTTTTTCCAATCAAACCATCGCTGGGAGCATTTTCAGTGTTGGAGCTTTCCTTCACTTCAATGTTCGATAATCGTGCCTCCTCCTCCTTGGGTGGGTTGGAAATAGGTAGTTTACCGCCTTTTAGTGTAGTCGTCCCATCGGATAAGTTTGAGCTCTCATTAAAATATTCAACAAGCAGTGAAGACGGAATAAGATTCTGTGGGGAGCTTGATCCACTCATCCAACCAGACGAGACGCGATGAAGAGGCATAAGATTTGCGGTCGCAGACTCTGGGGAATCGAAATCCACGAAGGTGGGGAAATTGAGTCCGGCAATGGAAGAATCTTCTTCTTTCACAGATTCACCCTCTTCGACGGTACGTGACTCCGCATCACCCCGCTGAACCACACCGCTATTAGAGTCTTTTGTGGACGATGAGGCTGGTTTCCCCTTCCTTGGCGGACCGCTCATAAACGTGGCGGCCGGATCCGAGCCTTGCGATGAGCCCGGCGCCCCGCCATGCTCCTCACGTTCGCTCGAAGCGTAATACTCCGCCGCCTCCAATGAGGCACTCATAAATTCCTCATTTGTATCGAAGAGATCCTTTTCTACAACATCCAAAAGTGCATCGAGATCCTTCTCGGTGTACATGGGTGGTGGGAGCCTGGTGACGGGGGTATCGGCGGTTTGAGGGTAGTGATAACGAACACTGGGGTCATTCCAAACACGAATAAACTGACGTCTCAATTCCTTACTGTTGTCATTAAAATAACGCCTCAGTAAAGGAACCACGCCAATTTCATGTCCACCATAGCGAAGCGAAAAAATGGTGTCCGAATTTTCTCTAGAAGGTATACCACCCATTCCGTGTATGTATGTGTGTAACACCTCGAACAGACAAAACAAAAATTCGGCAAAGCGAACAACTGAAAATTAAAAAAAAAGAAGTTTGGAATAGACTAGAAATATTACCGATATGGCTTGATTCGACCTTTTTTTTCTCAGGTATTACCCCCTAAGCTATTCTTTAAATTCCTATGGTTCTGGGACTCGTATAAATACTTCCCTTTTTACACTTTTTTTTTAGATACACAAATTTTTTTTAGATTTGTGATAAGACAAATGGGAAAAAATGCTGTATTTTGCAGCTATAAGAAACAAAAGAAAAGAAAATCGCTGCAAAGAAAAGCAAGCAAAATCAAGAATATATCTTAGAAAACCCCTTCCACACCTTACGCTTCGAAATAGACCACGAGCAAACAAAAAGAACTATTTTGTTAATAACAACAATCTATTAATGAAATCAAGCCACTTAAAAATTGAAATTAGTAAATATTGGGGTAAAAATGGTAGTAGTAGATTTCTCGAAAATGTTTTTGTGTAGATATGTTAGTTATGTTATAAGAATCAATACAAAAAGGAATATTAGGAAAGGAAGAACAAGACAAAATTAAAATAAATTTAATCGATCTTTCCCTTTATCTTTTTATGAATTTTTAGAGCTGTAGTAGTTTCTTTTCAAGTTTGAAAGAGACAGCTAGATTGATATAATTTCTATATGATAAAAAAAGCGCACCAAATGGGATGCTAATATTTAGTAATGCCTAACGCCAAGGATCGTAATATTGTTACTTATTTGTTGTTGTTTTTGTGATTTTAAATAGAGGCTTTCTGCTTTCTATTGGTTTGTGCGGTAAAATGTCCTGAAATATCCAAAAACAGTGTTTTATATGAACGCAATACCTTTGTTCCTTAAAAAAAAACTTAGACCCTTCTTTTTGTTTAAAAAGAAGGAGACAAACAAAATGTAAAATATTTATTTCTTATGAGGATTAAAAAGCTTTGAAAAAAATGGATTTTATATGAATAAAATAAGATCAGAATTAATCAGTTTTTACAAGAAAAAAAGAGCAACAAGCATAAAACAATTTTGCGTGTATACGTGTGAATATGTCTTCTTGATAAATACTACAGGCTACCTTTATTATTTTCTGTGGAGTTCCTGAGTTCTGAAATTCGACACTTATTACGGAAACGAAAAAATACTAAACAAGGTGTTACCCTGGAAACTCCACTGTCTAAAACAATCCCCTATACGTTGTTACGTATTCCTCAGTATTATTATATATATATATATATATATAAATATAGATATAGATAGATATGTGTTCGTATGCGTGTGTTTGTTTACAAGAAACTTTTATCTTTTATTTAAGAAAATTTCCCTTCTGACTCTGACAAATATTTCAAAGCAGAGAAAGGGGAAAAGAAAAAATAGCGATTTCTTCCCTAGAGAAAATATTCTAATAAAACTTATGTGTATATATATGTGTTTATGTCAATTCCTCTCAATTTCACTTTTGGTGACAAAAAGATAATAAATTAAGGGGAATAACTAGTTATTTAAAGACAAACGTGAAAAAAATTTTGGCTATATAATATAAAGAAAAAAGACGCAATCTTTATGTATATAAAAGAAAAGGAAATTATGTTTATTCCTATATATTCAATTTTTCTTGAATAAATTGTATCAATTTATCTAACCCTAACACACAAAAAAAATGAAAGGCAAATTAAACAGTAAAAGAAAAGAAAAATATGGCAATTAAAAAATCCATAGGAAGTTACCTTCACAAAATTTAGTAAAGGACTAGCTGTAAACCCTTTTGGGAGAGGGAATTTTACGCAATAAACATATTATCCGTAAACTAGTTTTGTTTTTTTGTCATTATAAATAACATTATTTTATTTAAATATCATCACTACAAAAAATTGAACACCATGTTGTCTCACGATACTTTAATACAAGATGAAAAGTGAAAAAACGAAAAGTGCTAGATTAATCACGAATAAATCAAAGGGTTAAAGCAAAACCACAAAAAGTAAAAAAGCAATTTGAACGATTTTAGTATGACTTCATAGAAGAAAAATATGGGAGAAAAAAAATGAGGTATCAAACACAAAATTTTTTTGCTTAAGAATAACAAAGAATAAATGAAGATTCAAATAAGGTTTTAAGATCTTTTCCTAGAAACCTATATGCTGACCCATGGAATCATATCTATAACACGCTTTTTATTTCTAACCACATATTTTCTTGTGTCTAGACAAACAAATGGGTAAATGTTAAACAACAATAATGTGAATTGAATTAGATAATGCCCATTTTGAGTGAATAGCCTTTTCTCTTGCTATTTAAAGGAAAAAAATGGCGAAAAGATGAAAAGTGAGAAAAAAAATATTCCTTGTTTTGAGGAGAAAGGAATCAATCAGTTTTTTAAATGAAATTTTTATCGTACAATTTCTATTTGTACTCGATTCTCATGCTCCTCTTCCCCTATTCTCATTTGTCTGATCTCATGTGTAGAGAAAAGGGTAATAAACTAAACCTATGAGAAGCAAGTGAAAAGTATGCATTGAATAAACTGATTGGTCGCTATTTTCCCTTTCTTTCAGACTACGATAGATACATGACAACGAGAACAGAATGTAAAAGAAACTGAGATAGAAAATCATCAGCAAAAATGAGACAAAATACAAGTCTAAATTTAAAACGTGTCATCCATGCATAAAGGAAATAGTTTAAAAACTACAAATTAGGTAGAACCTGAATTCCATAGTCTCACACTAGTAGAATCCAATATGTTGTCAGCGTTTAAATATAAAGCACGATTGAATATAAAATAAATTACCAGAACCAAGCTAAAAAGAATAGAATAAAAGAAGTAAAATCGGTACGCATCATCTCTCAGTATATCCTTTTAATTTATTATAATATATACGCATAATTTTAGGCTGAGAAGTACAATGAGAAAATGAATAAATATCCGTATATACTTTTATTATACTAATTCTTTAGTCATGCTGTCTCTCTGTGATTATGCTGTTGTTATTCTTCAAGGACAAAGATAAAAATAAACTTGAACCACAATAACTACCAACATCGATAGCCACCAACTTTATTTCTCCATATCACATACATATTCAAAAAATAAGCATGGTTAAACATTTGTTAAACACTTGAACGAAAATGCAATGAAAAAGACGTATTTTATAGTTTTCCACAAATTTTTTATCTTTTTTTTCTCCCTTTGACGTTAAAACTAAAAGAACACGCTTTATGATATTGCTATTAATGTGTAAATTTATTTGTTTCACTCTAACTCTTCCACACCGAGGAGAATAAACACAATACAACTACTACCAACAATGTTATACGATTTTTCTTTTTTAAGAGATAAGAAAACCCATAGGTAGTTCAACCATTGAGAACTTGGACGTCTCCACTCGATTTCTTTTTAAAAAAAAAGAAGAGGTCTCATAACAAAAGTCTCAGGATGATGAAGTTACAAAATATCATATAAGCTATATATGCACATAGTGGAAAAAAGTATAGATTAGATATCACGTGCCTTTACAAAAAGGTGGTAACTTTACTTTTTATACCAAAACACTAGCCCACACAGTGCAATAAACAAGCGCAGCTGTATTTATGAAGAGAAACATAAAAAGTAAGCTTCTAAATGAGAATCATTCTACCCCAATTAGCTCAAAGGGGAAAATTATTTTGAATCAAGAAATATATCAATTAAACATCACCAAAACATATTGTTGAATACATATATATATAT